CACTGAGAGGGTGTTAAATCTGGCACCTCAAAAATCTCAGCACTGGCTCCTGAAAGAAAGATGGCGCTTTAAATATAAAGTGGAGAGACTAGACGATAGCTCACTTATACATTTATCCTACTGCACTTAGCAAGTCTGAAAGCCTTCATAAATAATGGTGCTCCTGCTTCCTGTAGGTTATCAGTGCTGGAAAATTAGCTTTTAAAATGCGGTTTGAAATCCATTTAGGTGATTGATGGGTGATGGGACTAATAAATTTTGCCAGTTTCTAGAGGGACGACTCAGAGCAATTCTTTATGGTTGTCATGAAACCAGACACATTGGATGTGTGAAATCAGGAGGTCTCAAACCAATTCTGCTCAGGGGATCCTGTTGGATAGATAATTTGTTACACAGATAATACAGCAAACTATCTCTTTTACTGTGGTAGCAGGAGTTTTGTGTTCTTAACATTATAATCATATTTCTTAACATATGTTCAATGATTACCTAAATCCTTAAAATGTAAATAATTGGTTTTGCTAGTTTTTATGTTAAACATTTTTGAGTTCTTTGAGTGAAAAGAAGACAAATTCTCAAAAACATAAAAAATTTCTACATTTCTGATTGTTGACATAAATATGTTTGTCGGTGGGTTGGTGCCATATTGAATGTTAGTGTTTTTTTATTCAATTCTGCAGCTGTAGATCTCCATTAGTCCTAAACAAAATTTTTGCTATTTTTTATGTTTTTCTTCAAAACTTAATTCAATAAGAACTTGCAGATTGCTGCTCAATCACTTTACACTGGGAAAAGAAAATATCTACAAAACACCAATATAGTACCATCTAACTCTTGACTCAGTCATTGCAACTTGAGCGTTTTGTTTATTGTAGACTCGATTGCCCATAAAGGTGAAGATATTTTTGGCTTAAAGTAAAACTACTCAAATTAGCATGTTTTAGGCAAACCACATAAAAGGAAATGCAGTTAATACTATAATAAGGAAAATCTTCAAAGAACAGATTTATCCCCCATCGGCATCTGCTCTCCACTTGCTCAAAGAATTAGGGGACATAATCTTCAACAATAATCACCCAGTCGCCTGCAGCGGATTTACATTTTTTTACACTGTGTAATCTCGCATTTACAATATCATTTATGTAGGTGTATCTTCTCCATCCACTGACATCTGCCTTCTTCTCCGTTAAGCTTTGAGCAAGATTGTCAGGGGACTAGCTCAAGGCATTGCGTCTTTCCTTCACACACGTGATAGTGAATGCAGCTTCTTCAGTTGTATGCACACGCTCACATATCAACACTCTTGATTGATATTTTACTGAAACTGAGCCCTTGTTGCTGTCAGAGCCCGGCTCTCCTGAGCCTCTTGATTTCTGACATTAGTAAATAATATATTCATGCAGTAGTGAGGCTGTATTTTGTGATGTGATCCCCTGTAACACTTTAATCTGTTTAGACTCCTTCAGAACCGTGGCTGAGAAGGGAGCAGAAAGTATACAATGAAATACAAGGCTGCCTGCCAAGATCTGACTGTAACCACCACACTCGGTCTGAAAAACCTCCTCTTGGATTTAAACACACAACACTCCTGTCCAAGGCTTTATTTTAGGCTTTGGATGTGTTCTCACTATAGAGTTTTAGTTTTCTTTTATTTTAAAGCCAACATTTTACATAATAAACTAGAAAGTGTCACACTATAAGATATGTTTTGTTTGATAGCTTGTTTAAAAAATGCTGTTGAAATGTCTATGAGTTATATTTTATGCATTTGCTGAAGGCGTTCAGATGTAGGGGCTGCAGTGGCTTGGTGGTCAAGTCTTGAAGTGTTGAGGCTGCAGGTTTGAGCCCAACAGAGGCGCCAGCAAGGGGGGGGGGGGACCATGCCCTCCCTGAGAATTTGCCCCCCCACCCCCCACCCCCAATTTTAGTCTCATGAGTACCCAGGTTTTTCCTTTTTCAATTCCCCTACCTATTTAGGAATAGAACCTGATAAATATAAAAACAAACGTTGACCCCCAACATTACAAATACTTCTGATGCCACTGAAATATGTAACAATGTAAGGACAATGTATGATTCTCCTTGTGTAAAGATACAGAAGAAGTTAGAAATGGACTGTTGCAGAAGTGCAGATACAGTGGGGAGATCAAGTATTTGATACACTGTTGATTTTTCAGGTTTTCCCACTTGCAAAGCTTGTAGATGACTGTAATTTTTATCATAGGTACTCTTCAACTGTGAGTGATGGAATCTAAAACAAAAATTCAGAAAAATACAATGTATGAT